TGCAATACCTGAGGGACAGGAGGGGGCGCCGCGGGGCCAACCTCAGCCTGGCATGCAGCGACGCGCAGCAGGCGCAAGGGACCCGCTTGGCGACTTGCCCTGGTGCGCCCCAGCCGCCCCGCGGAGATCCGTTGAGTGCTGCTTCAGCCCCCGATTCGAACGCAGAACAGGGACGGCCGTCACGTACCCTTGAACCCTGCCGCCCGCCCCACCTTGGTCCTCATCTTCTCAGGCTTCAGGCTGCCGACCATCTGTGCCGCCAGCTGGACCAGCTCCATGCGGGTCTCAGGCTGTGCGCAAGAACAGGGACGGTGAGAGCGCGTCAGTGGTGGAAGGGCGCTGCGGCTGCGCAGGGCGGGCCGTTACGATTGCACCTTTGGCACGGGCGGGCGCCTGCTGAGGCCGCAGCGACCGCGGGCAAGGGGCATGCGCCAGCTGGCTTATGCTCCAGAGTTCAAGGGCTGAGACACTGCTGAGGGCCGCCGTGTCCCCGTGTCTCGCTCTCAACGCACACCAAGACTTATCTGCAGCCGCTACTCCCCCGCCCCACCTTCTCATCCTGAAGCGCCTCTGCAGCTCTGTCAGGACGTCCCCTCACTCCTCCGCCACCGCGCCGCCGCCCCGCTGCCCAAACAGTCGCCCCAGCAGCCGCGCCGCCTCCAGGCGCTTTGACTCATCAGTGGCACAGAGTTCTCCGACAAGTGGAGGACGACGGGCAGCAGCGCCTGGGGCATCACATCATGCAACTGACATCCGTTTCCAGGGGTGGGCCTCGACGGCGGGGCGAGGAGGCAGGAGATAGATAAGTGAAGGGAGAAAGGGGCAGGCGAGGTGCTGCATGGGAGGAGAGGGACAACAGTGCAAGGCTGGCACTGGGCGCTGGGCGACGGCCGTGGTGCGTGGTTTAAGGAGGACCCAGACCCGTGAATGTTCGCTGGCTCCGGGTTGAGGCGGCGCAAAGGGGGCGGCCCGAGGCGCACGCACCTGAGTGACGTAGAGCTCCAAGGCCTCGGCATTGGCCTCCCTGAGGGATGGTTGCCTGCGTTGGTCACGCAGGGGCACAGAGGGTGAGCGGTGCGCGGAGGGTCGGCAGCACGACAAGGGGAGGCGCTGGAGCGCGAGGGTGGGCACGCCGCGCAGCGGGTGTGGGCAGGATGCGAACGAGGGGTTGCCTCGAGCGCTGGACTGCAGAGCTGCCGCTCTGCCGCCTGGTGCATGCATGCGCAACCTCCTAATCTTTGCCATCATGAGCCGCGATCTACAATCATGACAGCGACGCACGTGACACAGTCGAGCAGCGCCCTGAACCAGTCAAGCTCCGTGCCCTGCGCCCGGAGTCGGTCAGCAGGTAGTAGCTCTTGGTCTGCGGCGGATCAAGGCGGATGCATGCGGCTTGGGGACCGGGCGCATGCTTCTCGGCCGGGCATGCTGGTTTCGGCCCACCAAGCAAGGGCATTAGGCCGCAGCAGCGTGCACTGGCAGAGCACGTACATGAATGATTAGAGTGCACAGACGGGCTGCGTCCGACACGAATGTCTCGCTGCCGGCGCTGTTCACTCACCTCGCAGAGCACTTGCAGCACTGAGATTGCCAGCTGAAACGTGGGCGCGGCGTGGTTCTGCAGCCGGTTGACGACCCACAGCACGACCCCGAGCGCTGCCTGCATGGTGCGGCGAGCGCGCAGCATGCACAGCGTGTAGGCACATGCGCTACCATGGGCGTGTACCATGAGCGCGCGGCCCAGCAGCATGCTTGCTTGCGTATCAACATGGTGACCGCTTGTCGGCACCTTGCTTCCGCGACGCATGCGTGCTCGACCGCATCACAGCACAGCACGCTTGATGCGCACGCTTCGCGCTACGCCTCACCTCCTTGCTGAATCCAAGATAAGCACTAGCTGCTTCAATCCCTTGGTCAGTGCGTCCTTCGACTTTGTGCTGAGCCTTGATCAACACTGATCTTCTTGCACAGCTGAACTAGCCCCTCGGGAGAAGCCGGGACATCGCTGGGAAAATCAAACGGATCCATGTTATCCTCAAATGACTCTAGAACGGCCATGTGCTGCTCGCAGATCAAAGTTGTGTCTATTCAGTGAATTGTCAACAAGCTGGCCAGAACGCGTCGAGACAACCCGTGTGTCTGATTGAACCTGGAAAGTCACCGACAAGTACGACATGGCAACATTGAATCAAGGCTTGGTGCGTCACTGCCTGGGTGACTTGCATCGCGTGTGGCGCTCTGGTGGCGCTTGATGAATTGCGGGGTGCCAGGTGATGCGTTCGTACAGGCGGTGATTGACGCAGGCCAGCGTCAGCTTTTGAAGAGTTTCTATATCAACTGATAATTGGCCACTGGCGTAAAGCTGCCACGACAGGTTGACCTGCACATGGCGCACGTGCCGCACCCTTGACGACCCATCAATGGTCAACATTCCATCGCATACCGCATTTGCACGCTCCATGCTTCAACTCCTTCACCTTCATACCAGAATGAACTGACTTAGCCTACACTCTGTGCTCCCTCGCGTGTCCCTACCTGCCTTTCTGCAGTACAACCTGCCAAGCCAAGCACTCGCACACCCTACCCCACAGTGCAACGGTCTGGTCAATTACAACGCCCAACAGTCAAACAGGGTGTTGGGAGACACAGAAACAGGCGCATCTGAGCTCTATGGGCTCAACTTGATCTCGTTTCAAGCGCAGCACTTCACAGGCCCGCCCGCAAATCAACACCACCACCGGAAACCTGCCGAAGGCATTGCATGATCCTGCTGACTGGACAGTGTTCGAACAAACGAGGTATGAGGGCCCTCAGCCTTTCATATTGCTCCACAGCAAAACCCTGGGTACGCGAACGTGGAGCCAAGAACGCGCGCCTGCGCCCGTCAGAGCTGCCGTTGTTGCAGCATCTGTTCCGCTGTGGGCGATGCGGCGCGGCGCGGCTCGGCAAGTGGCAGCCGTAAGAGTGCAGCAGCGGCGCGACGCACAGGCTGGGGCACAAGCTGCCGCTGGAAGCAGGGGGCGCATGCATGCTGGCGCGCCTGTAAGCAGGCGCCCGCGCACAGCGACAAACAAACGGGTGGCAGTTCAGACTTTGTGCGTTTCAAATGTCGCTTCACAAACGTTGCCGTCAGAGAGTGTGTGGAGAAGCGGGCCCATGCCGATAGGGATGCAAGGCTACTGGTGGCGTACGAGCGGGTGACTCGAAGGGTGCGCGCGGTGCGGCGAGCTCAGGTGCAGTGGCTTAGTGATGCGAGCCGCTATACATGAGACAAGGGGGCGTGAGGTCGGCAGCAGCAGGCGGCCTCGATGCAGCGTGGGGGCCTGGGCGGAGAGAGGAGGTGGTGCGGCATGCAGGCGCATGCAAGCAGCGGCGGCTGCGGCCTTGGCGCCCAGTATGGATGGAGGCAGCTGAAGCGGCGCTTCCCAGGCTGAGGATCTTGAGGCAGCGAGCACCGGGGCGAGCAGTGGTCGTGGACGCGCGAAAAACGAGGATACATGCGCACACACATGGACACCTTCAGTGGGATGGGGGGTCTGCGGACGGCCGGCACCGCGAAGTGACAGAGACGCATGGTGACTTTGGCAGCTACGGGAGGCAACCTGGCTGAAAGAACCGCAACAAATCGATGCGAGTCGTATGATGAGGTGGCCGAGGGCAAACCAGGCACTCGGCAGGCCGCGCTGCCGTGCACGACGGGCCAGAGCATAGACCAGGGGGACTTGCACAGCGGCAGGGCGGCCGCACGCGCACGGCGACCGTGGCCGTCCGCACCGCTTGTGCAAACGAATGGGGGGAGCCGTGCTGTCGGCCTGTGGCGCGTGCGCGTGCAACGGAGAGGCAGCAGCCCAGGATCGAGGGCGAACGGCGGCGGGGCCCCACAAACGACGTATCGTGACTGAACGCATTTCAAGTAAATCGAAGAGGCGCCGCAATCAGAGGTGACAGGGACGACACTTAGGAAGCATCAAAATCGGCGCGCCGCCGCCCTGCGAGGCAGCGGTTCGCAAAGGCGCCGGGGGAGGCGCCGGCGGCCGAGCATACCTCTGTGCTTGCCGGCGCGGATGCCTGCGAGCCATGCAACGCGCGGTCGTGGCTGCGGCGCCGCCGCCCGCGCGGGTCGGCCCCAGCGCGGCGGAGGGGCAGCCTCGTTAAGCGATGGTGCGTGCGAGCGTGCAGCTGAGCGCGATGACGCTCAAGAGTCAAAGAGAAAGACAACCCAACCTGCTGTGATCCCACCCACTGTGCATCTGCCCAAACAATGGCCCAAACATGCCGGTACAAGCGGGGATAAGGCGGCCCCAGGCATGGTGCAACCCCTGGTGTTGGGGCGGCCGCCGCCGGCGGCAACGAAGGCCCACAGAGCTGCCTCTCCGCCCACACGGTGCAGCCCAAACTGAATGATGGCAAATCAAGGACCCCGGCTCGCTGTTGAGGGCGCAAAACAATGGATGTCAAAGGGGGATGATCCCTCCAGGGCCGTGCATGCAGGCTCCAGGCGAGCGTGCCGGCGGCGAGGTGGGTCATCCGTGACGCGTGCGTCTTCTCATGGTTTGGATCAGGAATCCTACAGTATGAGCCCGCCGTTGGCCCGCGCCGCGGCCACACGTAAGCGTTCTGTGGTCGCGGCCGCGCCGGCGGGGCGCCGGGGCTGTGGTGAGTAAGGTATGTTGTTGAAGGGTGGGATGCGCGCCAGCGCAGCACGTGCTGTGCAGGCCGCACGGCCAGCGGAAGTAGAGGTGCCGCTTGCAGCGCTGCGGCAGCCCATCAGAGGGAAATGAATGCGTAGAGCCAAACCCATAAAGGGATCCCGAGGGGATTGCTAAAACGAATTCCTGCCTGGCTGCGACAGCATCCGTCAGAGGTCAGTGCTGGCCCCGGGGCCCCTCAAAATGCTAAGCAACCCTCGGTGGCATCCCCGCGCGACGCCATCTTTGTCGAGCGCCGCGCCTCCAGGCCGCCGCGCTGATCACCAGCCGGCCGCGCCGGCCGCGTCGCCGTCGCCGGGGCAGTGCCCCTCCTGGATGGCCGGCAGGTGGTCCCCCGAAATCAGCGCGTGCTTGCCGCTCTCGTGCATCATAGGGACGGCCACGGCGGCCTCGGAGCCCCCGCCGGCGCCCAGCGGCAGGTCCTGGGAGGCATGGAGGGGGAGCACGGCGGGCGGTATTGTTTTGCTCCTCAACGTCATTCTTGATCGAGCTGGGCCGTTCCAATTGCAGGGAGACAGCACGCACAGCACGCACGGCATGCACAGCACGCACAGCACGCACCTGCACCACCCAGCGCCAGTCGAGCTCAACCACCAGCACGGTGATGTTGTCGGCGCTCATCTTCTCCTCCCACTCGTACAGCGCAGAGTCCAGAACGCGCCGGCAGGCCACATGGGGGTCGGGCGACTCCGCCACAATGTCGCAGACCTTTATGTTTTGGAGAAGGGGTCCAACAAACGTATCGTGCATGCGGGTCCAGAGGGAGTTCGCATGTGACGGCGTGGCAACCGGGCGAGAGAAAGGGGAAGCTGAGGGCTGCCGGGGCGGCGCTGGTGCAGTGCGGGGTCGCGGCGAAGACGCTCTGCTCTGTCCCAAGGGCCGCTTTGAGCGGGGACCACCC